TTGTTGGGAGGGTAAAAACACTGGCTGGTACATTGGCTATCCCCGTATTTCGTTGTGTAGGCCGAATCACCTTCAAATGCCACTATGACTCCGAGTGAAAGTACGAGGGCATACGAATTGTAGAGCTCGCGCACGCTTTTGAACCTCCGAATTTTCCTCGTGCTTCTTGCCCAACTTTATTTTTCTGTGATGCAGCGTTTTCGACTTTTGCGCTGCCACAAAAACCTAAATAAAGCGACTTTTGGAATGGTGAAGCGCTCCTTCATCCTGAAGCTATCATCGCGTCGTACCGGCAGACTGTTTCGGCGCGACTTTTAGAAGCGTTTTGAAGAGAAACGAGACCATGGTGTGCGATATCATTTCAGAGTTTTCGAAACAGAGCAGCCTTTCTGATCGGATCTGATGCAAGCGGTCACCCACTATCAGGGTGCAATCCTGTTTTAAGGAAATTTGCCACCGCTTCCACAGCAAAACCGTAGATCACACCAATGAGGCTCTAACCCGAGAATATTATCGCTATAGTGATTCGCAGTCGACTAATGTGCCTCTGAATTACCAGAGCCTGTAACTTGAAAAACCCTTCAAAAGTCCGAACTGAGTTTCAGTAATTTGCGCGCACCCTGTAGAATTTGTGGCGTATCCTACAACGAATTCGACCTACTGGATGCTTTATCTTCAAGACCTTTGAATGTCGAGCTAGAAGGAGTTTGTTGTGCCATAACGAATGAATGATACAGGGTTACCAGTTTTTATTAGGTTGAATTGGGAGCGGAAAAAGAAGCGAAAATTCTGGTAGTTTGCCACGTAAACGAGGTCCTCATTTGCAATTGATTCGGGTTACGAATTTAGAGTATAAATCCGAGTCTTCAAGCAGTACGGTCCTCGATGTATCTATAATATGACGTGATTTTAGCCTTTGTCTTGCGCGGATGTTCAACGGATCAAGGATGAGAAGCGGTTGAAACAGCAGGCTGAGAAGTTGCGAATTTCTGAATCACGGAATCATCTAGCTAATTACAGAGTTTTACAAAAGGTTGTGCCTATCTTTATTTGACGATCATTCGATTGAACTTAACGTCATTTTTTACGTCTTGCAGAACCTGGTATATGTTGTGGGACTGTCTCCGCGTGTGGCCGACCCAGACACGTTACGGAAACCGGAGTACTTTGGGAGGTTCGGGAAGATTCTAAAGGTATGATTTGCTATTTCGAGTAGAGGATTTGGAATAGCATGTGTTTTGTAAAATGATAATTAAATGGTCGAATAGTGAAGACCCGGTTGTGTGCAACAAAGTGCATTTGTTGCAAAAATCTCGGTTATGCTGCTTTCATAGTCTGCGCCGTCCGCGGACGCCGTCCGCACGGTCCCTGCGGATTACGCGGAGAGTGCGAAGAGCGTCAACACGCGCACTGGCGCATGACGCTTAAGGCGTCGACTCTGCGCCTAGTACGCGTTGTGCCAGAGTGCTAGTCGCATACCCCCACGGACCGTGCAGATGGCGACCGCGGACGGCGCAGACTATGAAAGCAGCCTTATGCGACTAAATCGGCCCCT